TGTTTAGTTAGACAAAAATAAGTGAATTAGACACAGCAGCTTTTAAAGTAGATGCAGTTTTCATGAACCTGGGTTAGGGCTACATTTTTAAATTGTAGAAGACACTGTATTACCTTAAGTTGCCCTTGCTCAGACGCCTCTCAATTGTGGGTTGCTTAGGTCATCATAAAGGAGCAGAATGAAAAAAGAATTGTAGAAAGTTTATAAGAAAGGTATTGGATCCAGAGCTATCTTCAATGAGAGCCAGGTGTGTGAAAGATCTGATCTTCCCATAGATAAACTATAGAGGACTGGATTGTTATTTCCTTTGGTAACATTCCTTTTTTCTGCAAAAGAAGCTAGTTATGATAGCATGAAATATTGTTTTTTTAGTTTCCCCATGGGATGATCCTTTGCTTCCAAATGAGTAGAATCAAAAGGACACCACCCCTCTGGTGATGACTTCGAAGGGAGTCCTGAGAGAGAGGTAAGCACAGGAGGGAAGCTTTAGTGCTTCAGGAGAACACTTTAAACTGTGTTCCTTGAATCTGTGTATTTCATAGTGTTGAGACAGCATTTCTTGAGGGCGGGAAAAAACACTTAGTATAAAAATATTTGGTTCAGGCACTTTATTGTGAAAACAAGCCCACTTACAGGTAAGGGAAAGTTACTATAGGAGCCAGGTTCCTCCCACTTAAAACCTCAAGACCTGATGCTATGGAGGTGTAGCCTCCTTCCATGGAAAATGAGGGCTTTCAGCAACTGGCAGAATATTCTTACTTCACCATATCTGGCCGGAGATGCAGCATATGCCTAGCTAGCACCCTTCTTTGAACTATGAAACACCACAGATTTAGTACAAAAATGCACAAAAAAAAAAAAAAGAAAGAAATGTGACATTCTTGTTCCTACAGCAGCCAGCCTCAGTGTATGTTTCAAGGTAAAAAATGTAAAAGCATCTGAAATAAAAAGCCAAATTCCTTGAATAAAGTGGTAGGTTGAGATATGGCTATTAAAGAAACTGAAACTTTGTTCTTGAATGCACAAAAGTCAAAATACTTTGCATAGAGGAAGCCCTTCATCCAAGAAATGCAAAACCCTTTATAAGTATTATTTAATTAAGGTTCACAACATTTTTTTTGAGATGGGCACTATAGATTAATAGTAGTATTCCAGTTTTGCAGCAGTGGGAAGCAAGAATTTTGTAATTTAGTGCCTATGTAGGAATGCAAGTACCAAAAAGAATCAGAAGCAAAGGTCAGACTTCTCAGAAGATACTACTGATTTTAGGCACCTAACCTGGTAAAATGTAAGATTTCTCAGAGTGTTTATCCTTTGCTGGAAAAAAATTCAAATCAGTTAAATAGTCTCAGGGTGAGCATCAAAAACTGAAGCATCCAAAGAAATTAGCATCTTTTGATATTTGGGGTGGGGAGTGTGTGTGTAAATTCAGACTAGTAACTCTAAGCAAATGGCAAAGAAAGGAACAAAACCAAAAGAGCGCAGGTCCAATTTGGATGAGTAGACAATACTCCCTCACTTCGCACCACATTCTCTGGATTAACGAATACATCATTAAAACTGGTGTTGTATGAATTTCATTCAGTTTCATATATCCAGTTTTGAAAGTTCCTGTTCGACTTTGTCTGCTGCAAGGTTCATTTTACAATCCCGAAGAGTTTTTAGTACATCAGCAACCTTAGCTTCCTTTCCTTTCCATTTCTGCCATTCTCGAAGTGACTGCATCAGTTGTTCTCGCAAATTATAAGGATTGGCTATCATAATTCTATCAATTTTTGCATCAGAAATTCCAAGTTTTCGAATCAACATTTTCCAGTCTCTCCCAACATTGTCACATATGACTTCAAAGGCTGCATTCAGCCAACCTGAAAAAACAAAATGTCAAAATTTTGCTTAAGCCAAGAGAATGACTTCTGAAGAAATGTTTAATATGTGCATTTTCTATTAATTATTGTATTATAGGTATTCACAGGTAATATTAACAAATTACACTGTGGTTATGGAGCCATGGAATATATTGGTACTAATATAAAAACTCCTCACACATGATAGAGTTTCCAGAGGTCTTGAGTTCAGGGATAAAAGGTTTTCCACTAGTGTTGCTAGGACTCTCTGGAAGACTGTTTTCAGTGTATACACTCTTACCCTTCTGCTTGGGGTCAGCTCCGCTGGCCAGTGCAGAAGGTTTTGGAGTTCTCTTTAGCCTAGCACCAGAGAGAACATTAGGGTTTGGTGTCTTCATTAAGGCTGAGCAAGACAGAAGTTTTGAATAAATGTCATGCTGGCCTTCTGTACAGGGATGGATTTCGTTACAAATTTTCCAACCGTTTAAAACATTATCCACATTCATTTTTTTACAATGCAAAGATTAACTCCTGTCCAAAAAAGTTACCCCACAATAGTGGCAAATATAGTTATTAAACATGATAGTAAGACTGCAACTGCCAAATTAGGACTTTCTAGGCCTCTAAATGTTCTAAGACACGTGTTGTAAACTGACAGTATGCGCGTACCCCCAGGGTACTTGAGAAGGCCCTAGGGGGTATGTGCGGGTGGGTGGGGACAGAGTGCCACCATGTACCATCCCTCTCTGCCACTGCCCACCTGGCCAGACCTGGGGTGCAGGGGAGGCTTGCACATAGTGTCGGGGGTACACTGCTCTGCATCTGGCTGCCAGGGGTACACTGATCCAAAGAGGCTGAAAACCGGTTTTCTAAGGGAAGGGAAAGGGACAGATTAATTTGGACAGGCCCTACATACTCGCCACTTTAGTGCTCTGTGCCACTGAGATACATGATGCAGGGCTAGAAGGACCCATGGCTTGACCCAATGTTATAACTTTAAGCATTTTGTATGTGTTAAAAAATACGTTGATATTTTTAAAAAGGTACAGTATTTTGCAAAATGACAAAAAAGCGTGTCCACTTACGTTTTTCTTTGATATCTGGTTGATCAACAATATTGCCTTCTCCTTCTACAAATTGTTCTAGCCACATTGCAAGATCATCTCTTTTAAGGGTTTTGATCAGGAAATGGAGAAAATCTATCTTATCACTTGTAATCTCCTGCTGTTCAAGAAGGATGGCAAAAAGATCGTTTCCATTTTTGACTGATTCAAGCTTTCTTTTGCTAATTTTGTCCCGACAGAGAAATTTAAGGGAAGAGAGATCACTGTCAGATAGGTTCATAGAAATTGAATTCAGCAGAGATAAAAATGGGTCCATGGTGACAGGCCCTACAAATGAATGAATATTAGGGGAAAAAATATTTAGTGTGTTGAAGAAAATAAACAGGAAGTCTTACCAGTTGTCCGCTCACAAGCATTTGCAGGAAATAGCTTGTTTGAATTACAGAAAACTTTAATTGCATATGCAAATTCTTTTGACAAACTCAAGTTTCAAAACAAGGATAATTAATTGGCACAATGGACTTTTGGAAAACAATTAACGTTAAATGCCTCTCTCCTGCAGCCAGTTCTTACTTTCACTTTCATAATGCATCTAATCTGTGTAGGTAGCAAAATATTGAAGTTTCCAAGCAGTTTTTTGGAAACTCAACAACACCCTTTTTGTGTAAAACTAAGATGCTGCCAAGAAGGAAGAATACTTTATTTCAGAAGTTTTGCTACTTACTTCCTGGTTTAATCTATACTGTCCTGATTCAGAGATCCGCGCTGCAGTGAAGAAAAACTTTGCTGTGCTGAGGGCGAGCCTTTCACAGGAAGTTACGTGGATGAGTGATACAAGAATTTCAGGCACAAAGACTGCTCTTTTATTCAGGGAACAGTAGATGGCAATAGTGTACAACTCTAACCAAACTTCTATGTGCACAGCTACTCACCTACTGTATCCCTAAAGGAAAAAAAAGAAGAGAATCCAGAGTCATAGCTTATTATGAAAAAGTAAAACAATTCAGTTAAACAAAACAGCACAATAAAGGATTGCATGTATGTTTAATTCCTCCTCCTAAGAGGAAGAGTTTTGTTTATGCGGTCTAACTAATATGCCAATAAAAAGAAGAGACTATAAAACTAAGCCAATACTGTAGTGACACTGAAATTTTAGTTCCCAGTTGGGAAGTAAGCCAAATTATATTTGATTTGTAACTCCATTAAAGTCAGTTGCATTAAAGTGTACTGACTATTAGAGAATAATGAGTATAGTTTTGCTACATTCAAGTCTTAGGATCTTAAGTGAGATTGAATTGCAACACAGTAGCCAGCTTGGCCCTTGGGAAGTGTACTGATATTGTTCAGTGCTGCAGGAGGAGGGAAATTCTTTTGGTTAGATGTAATTAGATTGTAGGTCATGATACTTGGTGTTAAATTTATATGCTGGAGTTGTTCAACAGAGCCTCCTATGCAGATTAGTGTTTAGGGCTTTGACAAGGTGGAAAAATTGGTGAGCAAATACAGACTGGTATATTCTATGGGGGACTGGTCAAATAATCTATTAGAAATAAACACAATTTAAGAACTATCCCTACTGTAAAAGATACTTAAGTGTTAACTAGCTCTTTATGCTATTGTTGTTATTGTTGTTGTGTGTCTTTAGGGGTTAATCTTTACCTCACCTGCCTCCAGTTGGGTGGGAGGGACTGGAAAATCAACATAGTTTGAAAAATGTTGTAGATGATGTGACTAAATAAGCCCAGACCTACAGCCCATTTGCTGGAGGATTTTCTCCATTCTGGTGAAGCTTAATACTCTTAGAGTGTTTAACAATCATTACATTTATGAATCAGCACATAAATCTGCATACCAGCTTATTTTCCTTTCACAAAACAGGACAATGAAGCACTGCAAGAAAATGGGGAGGCGGATTGACAAAAGAACGTGGTGTCAAAAGCCAAGATCAGAATATAGGAGTCTTTTTTTTTATTTTTATCCCACACACAGTCCACATTGTTCTGCCCTTCTTAGGGCCAGAGGTCACAATGGCTAGTCAGCAGAGGTATCAACTCAGTTGTAGGCCTTCAGTAGAACCAGATGCGTGAGCATGAGCCCTGACCCACACAGCAGTGAATTGATACGAAGCTCCCCTGAATAGCAAAGGACCTACAGCTGTGGGCTCCATTGGCTTCAAAGGTTAATCTTGCACAGTGGGAACTGTGAATAGCCCACGATTCTTAAGAAAACACAAACAAACAAGACAAGCTTGTAATCCTAGTAATCAATCAATATTTTCAAGCCTCTTCTTAAAAGGGACTTCTCTTAAAAGCAATAGCTCTGTGGTAGCTCAGACTTAGTTCTATATTACTACAGTCCCAAAGCTCTAAAGGGAAGTTGCTATTACATACTCTGAAAGACCTGTGGCTGGTATTTATCTTTTACTACAATTTTGTGAACTTTCATGGGTTTTTCAGTGCATGCATCTCCCACATCACATAACTTTCCAGCACAGCCTTTAGTTTACTAGGCAGTGTACAAATACAGAAGAAAGTATGGTCTCTGCCCTCAAAGAGTGTACAGTTTAATGTATACAGACTCAAAGTTTCCTTTCATACCTCCCACATCTTCATGCTCATGCTCCAGCTTTAGGAGAACAACAATCATATTGAGGCAAAAAGATTACAATTCCTACAAATTGTGTCCAGCCAAACTTTCCATTTAAACCTTCCTACCCATGGTACTAGTGAAATCTTATTTAACCTTACCTGCTGCTAATCACAAAATTTAGGACTGATACTTGTGTCTCTTAACTTTCCTCTGCACCTGTGGTCCTGATCCAAGAAAGTGGCTTGATTTCTTAAATCAAGTTTTAAAAGTATCATTGCTGCCCTCTATTGGATGGAATGTCAGACCTCATTAAAAGACCGTTCCAATGGGAGCTTCTATGCTGCAGGCTGGAGAGTTAACCAGTAGTAGGCTCATATGAGGAGAGCCATGCTGATAACTGCAGAGAAGAATTAGTACTGAGTACTAGAGACATGATGGAACTTCCTGTAGGCAAGAATACTAAACTTTGTTAAGGGATGGACTACAGACTTATTTTTTCTAGTCCTGATGATTCTTTAATCAGAAATGCAAGGGAACATAGTGTGGGATGATATGGTGAGGTCAAGAAGGAAATATGCATTTGCAGCATGAAAATATGAAATATTTAGGTTCAGAATGTAAGGCATTATGGCTAGAGACAGACATTACACACAAACCAGTTTAAAAGATCAGAAACTGGTTTAAACCTGTAACAGAACATAAGTTCAGTGCACATAAGCCCATTTCAAAATGTCTGAAACTAGTTTAAGATAAACCTGGTTGAATGTAGTATCAGAGTTAACTGATTTTGGGTCAAACCAATTTACGTAATGTCTGTCCCAGACCCCTTCCTGGTTTAAGTTAAACTAGAGTCCCCCAGCATCCCAGATGCTTTGCAGCCCTGGGCTGGGCTGTGCTAGGCTAGGTTGTGCTCTGTGCTGCAGAGAACAGGCTCTCCCTGTACCTCTCCTCCCTAGCCAGAGCTCTGGAGCAGACTGCAGGCACAGAAAGGGATTTAACGGTGGGGGTCTACTACAGACCACCCAACCAGGGAGAAGAATTAGACCAGGAATTCTCAGGTCAGCTCGCAAAGACAGTTAGGACAAAGGATGTGATCATCATGGAGGACCTAAACTATCTGGACATCTTCTGGGAAGAGCAGTCAGCCAGGTCTGACTGCTCACGTAGGTTCCTAGCCATGTTACAGGACCTCCATCTAACCCAGGAGGTGCACTGTCCCACCAGGGGAAATGCTTTGTTAAACCTAGTCCTGGCCACAGGCAACGACCTGTTGACTGCGGGTGCTCGACCACCTGGGTGACAGTGATCATGGCCTACTGGAATTCATCATCTAGCACAGGGTGGCAAACGCCTACAGCAAGATAGTAACCCTGGACTTCAGGAGGGCAGATTTCAATGAGGTAAGGAGATTAGTCAGGGAGAGACTGAGGTCCAAGAGGGGAGGGGAGTTGGGAGTCCAAGAAGAGCGGTCATTCCTTAAGGAGACAATCCTCCAAGCTCAAAGGGTGGCAATCCCAACAAGGGACAAAGGGAGTAAGAGTGCTCAAAAGTCCCCTCGGCAAACAAAAAGCATCCAGGAATATTTTAAGGCTAAAAAGGAGGCGTACACCCAATGGAAGGGAGGGGCCATCACCAGGGAGGTTTGTAGTGGGGCTGTTAGGAAAGGTAAGCCAAAAATGGAACTGGGACTAGCAACCCGGATCAAAGACAATAAGAAATCCTTTTTTAAATACATAGGGAGTAAAAAGAAGGTTCTGGGTAACATAGAGCCTCTGCAGCACGTGCTAGGAAGTCTGGTGGTCGCACCAGACATCAAAGCTAACTTATTTAACAACTTCTTTGCCTCCATTTTTCTGAGCAGGGACCAGGGCAATCCCCCTTATCATGATCCCTGATGGTCCCAGGGGAGGTGCAGCCAGGCTCACGGTCAGAGTGGACCTAGTCAGGGATCTCTTGGTGGGACTGGATGCATCCAAATCAACAGGTCCTGACAACTTCCACCCCAGAGTGCTGAGAGAATTAGCAGAGGTCATTGCAGG